CTGCCTCCTTGGCGCTGGCCGCAGCCTCCCGGTAATTGCGGATCCGATCTTCCAGCAGAGCCTGCAGCCCCTGAGGCCCTCCAGCCTGTAGATACTCCAGGTCAGGGCCCGGCCACTCCAGGGCCAGCTAGGCCCTTGCTGCTCCCTCCCTGCAACAAAGCTGCCCCAGGAAAAGGAGCTCTTGGGTTCAAGGAGAAGGAGCTCCTCAAAGCCTCGAGGAGGAGGCACAGACCTGCTGGAGAGGCCAGAGGCCACATCAGAGCAAACACTGACGCCCAGACAAGCTGTGAAGGACACAAGGGGTGGTCTTGGTGAACAGAGAGACCTCTGAGGCCGCCCGGCACCAAAGAGTTCCTCATGCTCAGTCACTGCTTACGCAGGGGCACCGCTGGGGAGGGCCTAAGAGGGTTACTGCCCTCTTCCTAAGCAAGCCAGGCTACATGCACGTTATACGGAGACATGCAGGGGTGTCAGAGGCCCCTGAAGAACCTACCTGAGGTGCCGGGACTGAGGCTGTTAGGAGAGGTGTCTGCACTGGAGGCTCAATGTTTTCCTGTCCCTTTTCGTCCTCACAGCTACCCAGGACGGCTGTCTCATCGCCATGCAGCGACCCACCTTCCCCATCTGCACCCAGGACCTCTTGCAGCTCAGTCTGGGGAGACACAAGTCATAGGAGTGTGGGGGCCTCAGGGCCATACATACGATGAAAGGATCCGAAAACGGCCCTCTTCCCCGGCAGTCCTTCCCGACATCAGCCCCTGTGCCTGGACGCCCCCTTTACCACAACCCTTCTTTACTCTGACTGAAGGCGGTGAGACCACAAGTCTGAGAACCCCCCGTACAAAGTGCAGCCCAGCCATCAAAGGAAACCGTCTCACACCGTACAGCCAGGAAACGGCTCCAAGGGCAGGGCAGTGGCACAACATGAGAGCTCACAGGAACAGAGCCCAGCCTCCCCAGGGCAGGGCAGGTTTGATCAGGCCCGGGACACCGGCTTGGCAGACGCACCAGCAAGTCTGCATCGTCCTCCAGCCCGTCCTCCTCCTCCTCGTCCTCCACATCCCGCATGCAGTCCGCTGCCAGCTTCTCGATGTGGGCCATGGGCAAGGGGGCTGGGGAGACAGAGGGTCGGGCCTCAGAAAAGGTCCGTGAAGAGTGGAGAAGAGCCTTCAATGGCTGCACATTTCACACCGGGAGAAGCCCTGCCCTCCTCAGCCGGTCCCACCGGGAGACTCCCGCCCTGCCGTCAGGACCCGGCGCTGAAGGCCTCAGCAGGAAACCTTCCTGGGCCCTTCTCAGGGTCAGGTCTGCTCTAGTTCTTCAGACACATTCATCCTTTTCTCCTAACTACACCTTTCACATATGTAAAGTCTGTTAACACCCATTTGAGCTTCACAATGATTCTGCAAGATAGGCCACATTATCTCCTATAAAAGTAAACTGAGAACTACCAATATTAATTTTGTTATTAATTGCAATCTTATTAAGCGGTAGAGCCATGACTCAAACCAGGCTCATCTAACCCCAAAGGTTAGAACAAATGGAGGGCCATGGTCCTCCCATTGTCCTCACTCAGGAGACAGGGCCTGGGACCTGTGAGAGGAGGAAGATTTAGATCCTCTGACCCGCCCAGACTTCAGGTCTCTGTCCTCTTCCAGGCTGTTCATCGGATACAACTTCTCCGCACGTATTAGTGCCCAATCCAGTCTGTGCTGAGCCCCCTGGCAGGGCTAAGGGCAGAGACTCAGCCAGCCAGCGCAGCACACAGCTGACTGTCCACAGGAAGAGGGGCAGCCCAGGGGAGGGCACTCCCCACCACACAGTGTGTGAGCCGGGCAAGGCGAGCCCTCGGTGAGACGGCAGGAGGGACGCGGTATCAGGAGGACCAGGGGATGTGGCGCATCCTCAGCTGTGAGAGGACCCTCTCCTCCACCTGCTTGAGCCCATCTGGTCCCAGCACCAAGCCCAGCCCAGCACCGACAACATACCCTTCCCTCTGGGGGCTGGCTTCCTGCCCGCGGTCCCCGATTCCCCAGTGAGGGCCAGCAGCTCCGCCTCCAGGTCCCCGTCGTCTTCAGTCTCCTCCACCCCCAGCAGCATGTCCTCGGGGCTGAACTCCACAAAGAGCCCCAGCTGAGGGCAGAGAACATTTCTTAGGAACCACACAATGGGGCCAAGGATGCAGCCCCGCCCCACAGACCGGCTCCTGGAGATCATGGCTCCTTCACTGAGTGAGGCCCAATGTGCAGAAAGGGAAACCGGGGCCTACAGTGTTACCCCCAGTATGCTCTCTGGTGACCATAAAGACAGTAGGAGCACAGTGCCATTGTTATTACAACAATAACAGCACTGTATTTACCTAGTACTCTATGTGCTTACCTTAGTTAATTCTCACAATCCTAAGGAATAGGTTCTATTTTTTTTAAATTATAAAACACATAATCTGAAAACTATGATCATAACCATTTTTAAGTGTACAGTCAGTGGCATTAAGTACATCTAACTGCTGTGCTACTATCACCACTATCCATCCACACTTTCCATCTTGCCAAACTCAAACTGTGCACCCATTAAACAATAATTCACCAATTCCCCTTGCCCCAGCCCAATAACCACATTCTACGTTGTCTGTATGAGTCTGACTATCCTAAATAAAGGTAGGCCCTTTATCACATTCAGATGATACTGAGACGACCTTGTTCAGTGGCAGAGCTAGAACTTAAAATGAGGTCACATGCCTTGAGTCTATGCCCTTTATCCTACCACCTCCCTTACCTGCTTCTTTTAAGAAGTCCCAGGACTTGAGCCCAGAATAAACAGATTAGGGAACAGACCCATAAGGCTGCAAAGCTCTCCCAGTGGATTAGCCCTCAAGCCCTGGCATCTGGAGCCAATAAGAAGAGCTGTGACCCTAGATTTAGGGCCTAAAAGAACCCATGAGAGTGCTGAGGCCACATCGGTACCCCATAAACTGGTGGTTCCTGAATCCTCCAGATCACTCGTAAGCAGGTGGCCATGGCAGGAGGGTGCCTGGGCTGAAACACAGGCGGGTTCAGGCCTGTGTACGGCAGAGGCCAGAGTGTCTCCAGGGCTCTGTCAATCCCGGGAGGCCCTGCTCCAAGTCTCTGCGCTAATGGTGACACCACACAGATAGCCCAGTTCGCCAGGCCGCTGAGGAACCCCCGCCCTGGCTCAGGGGTGAAGGCCACATACATACCTGCTTGGCAACTGCCGCACCCTGACCACTGGCCTGAGGGCCCTTCCGAGGTCTTGGCCCTGGCATCTTGGCAGCCTAGATACCTGTCTGGTGGGGAAGGGAAGAGACTCAGACTGGAGCAGCCTATAAGCCCCTTCCCCAAAGCGCTGCCTTAGTGAGGTGTGGTCAGTCAACTCAGCTCACAAGGGAAAAGGCAATGCTTACGATCAGAGTGAAATACTAACACGCAAAGCATGGCACTGCAGCAAACAAAAGGAGAGAGAAGGGATGAGGACCACCTGCAAAGGGGCTTACAGGGAGCGTGAAACACTCGGACAAATTTGGATTAAACCCAAGGTTGAGTGGGGAGCAGCCAGGAAGACAGATTCCGTGAAGTAACTCCAGGCAAGGGGTGGGTGTGTATAAGGCTGGGTGGGATTCAGAAAGGCTCTAAAGCTGTGCTGTCAAACACCGTAGCCATGGCTCCTTACATGGAAATCAATTAAAAATCCAGTTTCTCAGTTATTGGCCAGCACAAATACTGAACACTTTTTGTCACAAAAATTTCTATTGGGCAGTTCTGCTCCAGCCTAGAGAACTGACTCAGCATTCTGACTGAGATCTCACAACCATTCATAGGACCTACTATGTGTCAAGAGACCCTGTGCTGGGCACTGGGAGAGCAGAAAAGAATCTGACAGGTCCTCACGCCTCACAGAACATTTACGTGGTGAGACAGCCTCATGGATCGGCCATCACCACTGGGGGCTGCTCCAGGGGCAAGGGCTGCCAGGTGCGGCCCGGGCTCCGGACCCCGGACCCCGGACCCGGCGCAGAGGGAGGTTTCTTGAGGACGAAGCCTGCGCTGAGTCATGTAGAAGCTGGGAAAATAGACTCCAAACAGAGGGAACGACTGGCCCATTCTGAGTGAGAGCCAGTCTGGCCTCCACCAGGAACCTCAGGGCCTGGGGTTACTGGGGCATAAACTGTGGAGCATAAACAGGGAACAAGCGAAGCTGCACGTGTGAGCACGGGACGACAGAAAACGCCTCTCAGCCTTAAAGGAGCCCAGGCATTCTCCTGAGGGCAAGGGCCGCTGGGCTCAGGCCGGGACCCTGAGCCGCCGCCGCTGCAGAGGGGCGGGCGGCAGCGGGAGCGGAGGCTGCTAACCATCGGGTCCCGCAACGGTCCCGGCCGGAGGGGCGCGCCGCGGGGCGCGGGCGGGGAGCAGAGGCCGGAGCCGGGAGCGGCGGTGAAACGCCGAGCTCCGGGGTGAGCCGGCTGTGGGCGCCCGGGGAGGGGGGGGGCCTCAGGGTGACTCCGGGAGTCGGATTTCGGCGGCGGGGCTGACGGGCCGGCACTGAGGGCAGAGCGCGCTCAGGGAGGCTCAGACGCGGTCCGCCCGGCGCGCCCGGCCTGCAGGTCCGGCCCCGGGACGGGGCGGCGGTGCGGGGCCCCGGCCGGAGCTCGGGAAGAGGAGGGCGGCGGCGGAGAGCGCAGGACAGGCGGCGCAGGGGGACCTCCCCGCCCCTCGCAGCAGGACGCCGCCCCGCCCCGCCCCAGCCGACGCCGTCTCCCGCGTCCCCCGGGCCCCCTCGCCCGGGGGCGGGTACGCGGCATACCTCGCGGCGAATCCGGGCCCGCCCCGGGCCTGCTCTCGCCGCGCACCGCCCGGGACTCCCGTGGTCCCCGGGGGGCGGCCGCGGCAGCCGTGACCGGAAGTTCCCCCGCGGAGACGCCCGCGCCGGAACACGTGACCCCACGCCCCGGCGACACGCAAGACGCATGCGCGAGGCGGAGCGGGCGTGGCGCCCCGACAGGTGTCTCTGAGGGTGACGTTCTGAGCGCGCGGGCAACGCCCGGCTGGTTGTGTGGGCCGAAGGGCGGGTCGGGGAGCCAGCCGGCTTGCACACGTGCGGTAGGTGTGACACCTTCCCTCGCTCAATCACACTCCCCCGCCAAGCCGCCTTCGGGGATCCGGGGAGGCTCCCGGCCACGCTCACCGCGCGTCCTAGCTCAGCCCTCTCGCGTGAGTCCGGGGCTGGCACGGACCCCACCAAAGGGGCGGGCTTCTCTGCTTGTTACCTTCTTGGTGTCCTTTGAGCTTCTCCAGCAAAATGATATATTATATATATCAAATATAATATATATTTGATATATATAATATATATAATGTATATATTTAAGTATTTTTATTGGTTTCAGAGAGGAAGGCAGTGGGAGAGGCTGCCTCCTGCACACCCCACACTGGGGATGGAGCCCATAACCCTGGCATGTGCCCTGACTGGGAATCCAACTGTGACCTCCTGGTTGGTAGGTTGATGCTCAACCACTGAGCCATGCCAGCCACCTCTTCGTGAAGTTTAGCCAAGTTCTTACTCCTCCTACTTTACAGGGCAATGAAATGGGGGGTGGTAAGAGGCATTAAAGAGCATCTTCCATCTAAAACAATCTTTGCAACTCACTCCTGCATATCTCAGCTTTTAAGTTACGTTTTGTAGTTAGTGATTGGAATCTTGTATTTTCCTTGGACAAAGAGCTTTTCCATCTCCCATTGCTTTTGATTGGTTGGTTTTCCAAAGAGACTGACCTTAGCATTGTAAAACTGGTTTTATTCCAATTTTTCTGTCATTAAATATAATAAAACTAGAGGCCACGGATTCATGTACCCGTGGGGTCCCTTGGCCTGGCCTGTGCCTTCTCACAATCTGGGACCCCTCTGGGGATGTCGGATTGCCAGTTTCAGCCTAATCCCCCAAAGGCCATAGGGACCCCACTGGTGCACAAATCGGTGCACCAGGCCTCTAGTATGCATATAAGATCTTTGGTTACTCTCTTCCCATGCTACCCGCTGAGATTCATCAGTCTGTTCCATATTCCTATGCCTGTGCATTGAGCAACTGCCCACTGTTGGTCAGTGCATGTCATAGTTACCAAATGGTTGAACAGTTGCTTAGGCATATATATACATATATATATATATATATAGAGAGAGAGAGAGAGAGAGAGAGAGAGAGAGAGAGAGAGGGAGAGAGAGAGCGCGCGCGAGCGCGCGCGCGCTCAAGCGATGCAAGAATGGACCTTCCTTCCCCTGATGGCACCGCCTTTGCTCTGGCTGGAGACTCCCTTCTGCCCTCCCATACTGCCCAGAGGCCCACAGGGGCTGGGGCGACAACGCATTCTGCCTGCCCCTGGCCACTTGGCACCTGCATATGCAAATTAATCCATCATCTTTGTTGGGTTAATTTGCATACTCCTGATTGTCTGGTGGGTTTCTCAAAGGTACAGTCAATTAGCATGTTACTCTTTTGTTAGGTAGATATTTAATAGATCATCAAAGGTATACAGTATTTCACATTTGCTAGAATGCAAGCTCCACTGTTATTTTTAAAATATATATATATATTTTTATTGATTTTTTACAGAGAGGAAGGGAGAGAGTTAGAAACATTGATGAGAGAGAAGCATCGATAAGCTGCGTCCTGCACATCCCCTACTGGAAATGTGCCCGAAACCAAGGTACATGCCCTTGACCGGAATCAAGCATGGGACTTTTTAGTCCGCAGGCCGATGCTCTATCCACTGAGCCAAATCGGTTTCGGCTCCACTGTTCTTTAAGTTACCCCCAGTGTCTAAAGCAATGCATTTATTACATAGCAGGCATTCAATAAAAATAGTTCCTATTCCCGGTGTGAATTAACATAAGTACCAATCACAAGTTTAAGAAAAAAACAGCACAATAATACAGTTGAAACCACCTATACACCTATCATGGTGCAAGACTTTCCTAAAGAGCTACCTACTCTCCTGACTTATTCTTGAGCATTTCTGTTTCTACTATGTATGTATATGTCCTTAAATAATTCGTATCTTTTTGCAAGCTTTAACATTATAGCATTGATATCACTGCATTTATTCTTCCACTTCTTTGCTTAACTCTATTTGTAAGTTTCATCCACATCTGACACTTGCAGTTTATCTAATTACTTTTCATTTCTATATGGCATTTCACAGTATGAGAATAATTTCCTCTTCCAATGGCTTGCCATTATAGTCCTATGAACATTCTTGCATACAGCTCCCAGGTACACGTGCTTTCCTAAGGTGTACACCTAGGAGTGGAATTGCTGCCTCATATGATTTCCACATTTCCCAGACTAAGTGGCAAATTATCTGCAAAGTATTTGTTCCTGTTTACACTCCCATCAGTGGGGCATTTGGATCCTAATTGTTCCATATCACCACGAAAGGTTTTCTAATAGATGTGAAAAGGTTTTGACTTGCAGGCCTTTTACTATGTGTCCATTTTGTTGATCATTCCTGTTTCTTAGTGTGTGAGTGACTTATTTACACATTTTTCCTTTTTTAAAATTTACGAATTGTGTAATTCTTTAAAATATTCTGACTGACCCTCATGTGTGATTTATAAATCTGACTTATGTGTATTATATGTATATACACGTGTGCTTTTTCTGAAAATTTTTAAAAAGTTAAACTATGATAATTAGTTTGATATTTCATCATGATTCTAATAGATTTTCCTATACTATTTACCACTCACAAAATTTAACCTTTACCTCATACTTATTAACTATTACTGTAGTCCACAATATATGTAATTATTTGCATCTCTTAAATATACAACCCAAATCAAGACTCATAGTACAGTTAGCTCTCATTTCTCTATTTTCCTTTAGTTTAGAATAATTTCTCCACTTTTGGTCTTTTGTGATACTGACATTTTTTAAAAGAAAAAGTTGCTTTGTATTTTCTCAATTTTGATTTAGCTGATAATTTTCTCAACAGATTTAGGTAAAACATTTCTGGCAGAATTATTATTACATGGTGATGCGTGTTTCCCATGAGGAAGCTTTAGATATCAGTTTGTCCCACTAATGGTTTCCAAACAAATATTAGAACTTGTAAAGTTATATAAAAAAAACCCTGCCAAGATTTTGATTGGAATTGATTTCTATTTAGAGATTAATTACATCTCTTTATTAGCTTTTTTCCCAGATACCTTATATTTGTTGTGCCATGTAAGACTTTTTCATTTAAAGATTTGTTTTTATGATATATGGTACCTTTTAAAATTTGTACATTTTCTAGCTATTCATTGCCAGGGATTCTTTATTACTGATATTACTTCCGGCATTTCTTTTTTGTAAACTACGTTTGCTTCATTCACATTGCTCAGAAGTTAAAAGATACCTGAAATACAGTGAGTCTCTTTCTAACTCCTGATCATAGCCATCCATTTCTTTCCCAGGGGCACCCAATATAACCAACTTCTTACATATTTCCCCCAGACTATTTTATACCAATTCAAGTAATTGCGTGCAGATGTTGACACACACGGCATGTTACCATTAAATAAATGCTGGGGCTACTAACAGAAATAAAAGTCAGAGGAGGTTTTATTTGGTTTTATAATCTGAGGTTTGTAATGACTATAAATTTCCCAAACACTCTGGAAAAAGCAAATTATTTAAAAGAAAATTCCAAACTACATGGTAGTCATTTCCCTTCATTATATTTTGCCACAAAAGGTCCATGTGCTCAGAAAAATAAAACCCGGTTCCTCAGTCCGCTCGCAGCCCTTCCTCGGAAGCTCTCACTCCTCCTTCAGGGCGAACAGCACGTCACCCTGGCTGATGTTGAGCCGCACGCGGAGCAGCAGGTCGTGCCTGCTGGGCTCCACGAGCAGCAGGCGGCAGGCGCCCAGGCGGGAGCACACGGCCATGGCCTCCGACATGGTGGGGTAGGGCAGCCCCTCCATCCGGCACAGCTCCACGTGCTGCCTGTACACCTGCAAACAGAGGCAAACCTCAGGTCAGCTGCCAGGAAGGTTACGAGAGGAGGGTCCTGGGTCTGCATCCGATCATTTAGTTCTTCTTTTAGGGAAATCACATACTTCTTGACCAGGATAGTTAGTGCCCCGAAGGCATCAAAGGCTGTCGCAATGGGGGCACAAACGAAGGGCAGAATGCAGTACCACTTTCAGAATCAGGATCGCAGGTCTGGTTCTAGCAGATAACCTAAATATGATGCCCTGGGCAAGTCATCTCGCTTTCTGAGCTCCAGTTTTATCTACTAAATGTATTATAATATCTCTGGAGTAATGGATATAAAATGTCTAGTACTGAAATTGTTACACAGTCCCGGTATTCAGGGGCTGAGAATTCCATAATGGAGATTGTCATAATTCAAGTCAAGTTTTGCTATAAGGTATTTTCCTAAGCAGACACAGTGTACAGGTACCAAGGCATGACCCTTGGAAAAGCAGAGGCAATCTACACTAATAAAAGAGAAACATGCAAATTGATCGTGCCTCTGTGACAACCACCAGCCAATCAGGAGCATGCAAATTAACCCAACAAAGATGGTGGTTTAATTTGCATATGCAGGTGTGAGTGGCCACTTGTGCGCGCTGGCACCACGCCGACTGTGTCCTGGCGACAGGCATCCTCAGGCATCCTGCTTTGAGCCTGTAGGCCCGTGCGTAGCCCCAGAGCAACCAGAGTCCTGGAATGACTCCCAGCCACTCCAGGCCTACGTGCGCAGGTGCAGAACAGCCAGGGGCAGGGCAGCAACATCCGCCATGTTGCCATGGCGAGGTGCAGGCAGTCCCTTGCAAGGCCCTCACAGAGAGCAGACACCAGGGCCTGTGGTGGTGCCAAGCAGGCAGGTCCGCAGAGAGCAGAGAGCCACAGGGAGTGGGCATGCTCCCAGCTTCTAGTATTGAATAAAGAGGCAAGTGGGTAGCTGGAAACATGGATTCCAACCCCAAAGCCCCAAGTGGGTCAGGCAAATCGGTAGTAGTTTCTGGCAATCTTCTAACTGTAAGTCCATTCCTCATCCCCACCTCCTACCCCCCACCAATACAGGGAGCTTGTCAGAGCAGGATATTAACCAATTCAGATTTGGGTTCCTGGTCCACAGCAGTTAATGGCATATTGTATATGTTCAGGAAATGTTTACATACTAAAAATGACAGGCACTCTGCAGAAGAGCTGTTTTAGGCTCTAGGAGAGAATAACGGGCAAAATATGACCAGCAACTAAATGTTTAAAAAAAGAATGTAACGAAGTACTATAGGAAGAAGTAGTCAGAAGGAAAAAGTTTTTCTGTGCGTCTAAAACATGCTTGTACACACAGGTACACACTCCCAGGTACACACACACACCTTTGACAGTTGACCTTCTAAGGGAGCCGTTGCCTGTGGACACTGGTTTTAAATAAACCACTAAGGCATGAGGCCTCAGGCTTCCTTTTACAGATGTAATTGAAATGATGCTCTAAGACTATGACTTTAAACATGGCTCTTTCTGAAAGCCTCGCCCCCATTACATCTCGTAAACTGTATTAGGGCAGTGACTTTTGATTGTTCATCTTTGAACCTCCCATCCTAGAACAGTATCTGGCACATGGTAAACCTTCAATCTAATATGTAGAAACCAGTTGCTAAAGGTCTCCTCCTGCAACTCAATAAAAATACCACATAAAAATAGGTGCTGGTTTGATGTTCCTTAGCATTACCAGATTACCACAAAATAGAGACAAAGTATTCCACGGTGATCAAAATTCCCACATATTTTAACGGCATCAGACCAAAATCTAGATGGATTTCAAAAAAGGAGATTGCCCACCTGTTGAAATGTGGCTTCCTCCAGTCCCGATCGACGGAATTCTGCAAGGATGGCTCTCAGGAAGTTCTGCTCCATAACAGAGGAATTTCTTAAAGAAAATGAAGACGTGAATTCTCAGTTAGCTGCACAAACACCGAGGGGAAAACTGAATAAAACTTTTCAGCATTTTCAGAGACTGGAAAAAACTGGGGACTGACTACTTCCTCCGATACTATTTTGGTAAGCGGTCCCCCTTCCCTCCCAGAGTCTTAAAACGATACAATAAATGCCACTGTGGAAGTAAGGAGCGACAGAAACTACGTCTGGAAAGGTACCAGCATCCCAACTACGCCCTTTACGGAAAAGGACAGTGTCTTCAGTAAATGCAGGAAAACGAGCTTGTGTGGCCTCCACAGACCATGGCCCTCGCCAGGTGGTCTTTCTCAGCAGGTTCAAGGTCAGGAGGCAGAAGCATCTTACTTGATGGCAGTGATGTACGCCGATGAGAACATCTCATCCACCGCCTTCAGCAAGTGGGCCACGGTGACCGGGCCCGGGGAGCCGGGCTCACGGCTGGATTCACAGATCTCGGTGGCGCGCCTGCAGACGTCCAGGCAGCGCCGTGCGTCTCCGGAGAGGGCCGCCACCTAAGGAGGGATCATTTTATTCCTTGAGGTCCCCTTGCCTATCAACCAACAGACTCTGAGTTCAGCTAAAAGAAGGCAGGCGCTGCTGAGAAGGGACGTAAGCCTGAAGTTACGTCCTAGTTGGGAACCCGGAGGAAGCCCAGATAAAGGATCACAGGCTCGTGCCTGTAACCATGGGGATCCGCTCTGAGAAATGCTTCATGAGGCGGTTTCATTGCTGTGCAAACATCCGTGTGCACTTACACAAACCTACATGGTGTGGCCTTTTTATAAGTAGAAAGAATACACCTAAAATAAGGATGAGTAGTACAGTAACAGGGTTTTATTATCATTATCAAGTATTGTGTACTGTACACAATTGTATGTGCGGTGCATTCATACAACTCACAGCGCAGGTTTGTTTACAGCAGTAGCAGCACGAACACCTGAGCAATGTGTTATACTAGACATTACAATGTGTTTCGCTATGATGTCACAAGGCTATAGTGATTTTTCAGCTTCAGAGGTCCACTGTTTATATGCAGTCCTTCACTGGCCAAAATGTCATCATCAGCATGTATAATAACTTATACTGTGCCTGGGACTCTTCCCTGAGCCCAAACCTTTGTCTTGGTTTTACAAATAACTCCAACGTAGGAAAGGCAGAAATCATAGTTTTATTTATTTAATACTAGAGGCTTGCTGCACAAAATTTGTGCAGGGGAGGGGGCAGTCCTTCAGCCCATCCTACACCCTTGCAATCCAGGATCACTGGCTCCTTGTTCATCTGCCTGCCTGCCTGATCACCCCTAACCACTCGTCTGCCTGCCTGATCACCCCTTACTGCCTCTGCCTGCCTGCCCGCCTGATCGCCCCTAACTGCCTCTGCCTCAGAGACGTCTTAGTGGAATCTCGTCTGGCATTCTCCCAGTGAGCCTGGAGGACATAACCGAGGCCCGCGGCCCGTGAGCTTGATATGCTTGAACGTAGTCCAGATCGTATACCCACCATGGGCTGTGCACCTTGCTAGGCACTGACAGGCCAGCAGAGGCATTTGGCTCGAGTGGACTAGAAAGTCCTGAATGAGAACTGTGGCCCCAGCCTCATCTCGTGGAACAGCCACGGGTCATCCTATCCGGCTCCACAGGGGCAGCCGCACGGAGGGCGGGACAGCAGGCCGACGCTAACAACGGCCGCTTACAGCCCACAGCCTCCGCGGCCAGCACGGGTCAGTCTGAAGGACAACGAACTCCTTGCCCAGCCTCCATCCCTTGAGGTTTTTGTGCATAAAACCCAATCCCAGGGACAGCGGAGGCTGAATCCTGAGCTTCCCGGTTGTGGCTCCCCGCCCGCCGTCCCTCCATCCCCCAGTCCCTCTAATAAACTCCCCTCTAGCTGGCTGTGTCTATTTCCTTGAGCGACTCCCATCTTACAGGCACCTTATAGGCATGGTTGAATTTCATCCTCACAATGACCCTATGAGGTAGCTAGTATTATTACCATTTTTCAGAGAAGTAAACTGAGGCTCAGGAAGTTTTGAAGTAACTTTCCTACAACCTTCCACATGCCTACTAAGTGTTAGAGTCGGAATTCAAAGCAGGTTTGTCTATTTAACTATTCAGCCCTCTTCACACCTAAGTGGACAACCAGAGCTGTTTGCTCCCTGAATCAATCAATTTTCGTTTTAATTGATTAAGCCCACCATAGTCATAGCCCACTAGCAGTTATACAATAAGATCTCAGGACTTTTTCAAAACTTCGTTTCTAAGTTTTGTATTTGTTTTTACAAGATTTCCTAAATTTCTCATCATTCCCAGAGCACCCAGCACAGGACCTCACACCAGCAGGGGCTCAGCAAAGAGCTGCCGCCTGTTCTGTAGGTCCAGCGAGGAGCTCCCGAGGGTGACTCACCTTCCTGGCAACAAGCTGGATGGCATCATCCTCGAAGGCCTTCAGGTGCTTGAGGCGGGACATGAGGATCTGCTGCAGCTGCCTGTACGTGTAGGGCTGGAAGGACATCCTGGTGAAACCCTGGGAGCCAAGGTGACAGAAACAAGCTCACTGACCGCCCTCTCTGATAGCCCTGGCGGAAAGCTACCCACCAGCCCCCAAACCCACACAACAGTGTGCAGGCCTCACGCTGGGACTCCCTCTGCTTCCAGCTCTTCGTGACTGGCCACGGCCGGTGGCATCTTGTAGGGCAGTAGTTCTCAACTACCTTCCATTTAGTTTAAAATACCCTTTTATTCTGCCAGAACCACTGAGAAGTAGACGGAAGTAGAGGCGCTCTGACGAGTGGACGGAGGACCCTCAGCTTTGTGATGTGCACAGGCTCCGTTCCGGCTCACACGCCATGCTGCTTCTAAGCGCCTGTGGTTCAGGCTGAACCAGGGGTCCCAAGGGCACACACTGCATCCACCTTGCTCACTGCTACGCTCTAGCCATCTCACACTGCCTGGCAAGGGTAAGTGTTTAAAGACATTTTAACACTAATTAAACCTCCAGGGCTCTGCAGCGTAACAATGCACAGGCAGCAGAGCATCAAGATATGTTTGCAGCCAAAACCAGTTTTGCTCAGTGGGTAGAGCGTCGGCCTGTGGACTGAAAGGTTCCAGGTTCAATTCTGGTCAAGGGCACGTACCTTGGTTGTGGGCACATCCCCAGTAGGGGGTGTGCAGGAGGCAGCTGATCGATGATTCTCTCTCATCGTTGTTTCTAACTCTCTATCCCTCTCTTTTCCTCTCTAAAAAATCAATTATATATATATATATATATATATATATATATATATACACACACACACACACACACACACACACACACACAATATATATAAAAGATATGTTTGCAGCAAATCATACAATGGTGACAGTTTAATTCCAACTTAAAACGAGAAGAGTTTTAGCCGATTCTCTCTCATGGACGTTTCTAACTCTCTATCTCTCCCCTCCTCTCTGTAAAAAATCAATAAAATATATTTTTTTAAAAACACACAAAAAATGGAAGAGTTTTAGAAACCACATTTCGTACTTTTCCCATTTATTGCAGTGTCCTGTGCATTCGTTTTTGCAGGACTCCTCAGCACAGCTTCCGGGTCTGTAAGAACAACCGGAGCACGGCCCCAGGACCTACCAGTCGGCTTGCCACCCGGTTCATCATGATGCGCTCTGGCAGGTCCATGGTGTTGGCGATGGCCAGGACCACAAGCCGGGCCTCCTTGTGAGTGGGCCAGTCAAAGAGGTTGTACATTACGTCTTGTTTCTGAGTCCACAGAAGGTCGAGCTGCCAGGGAAACGGGGAGAGATGCAGGGCCAGCCACAGAGACCGCGCCAGGGCCCAGAGTGAGGACCTGTCACCGCTGTTTCAGCTCCCTGTGCTCCTCGGGCCACACCGGCAGAGCAGCGAGGAGGTGAGGGGACACGTGCCACTTGCCACGAGACAACAGGCTCAGACGAAGGAAGGAGCCAAACTTCCCTCCTGCCCAGTACTTGCTCCCAAAACATCTGTCACAGCCACGTGGCTTCTTTTCCAGTCCTCCCCGTGGGCCCCTCCTCACCTCATCCACTAGCAGCACGGTGGTTTCCTGGGAGGACCCGGGGGTGCGAAATCGCTTGGCCAGCAGTTCGGCTGCATGGTTGGCTGTTGCCTTTTGGCCAGTCATCTTCTGCATTGGGGGGAAAAGGTATGGTAAATGCTAAGGACATACTCCCTTGGGCTTAAAGTTAAATCTGCAAACAGAGGAAGCTATTTAGCCTGAGGGTTTCAGGATCCTATACTCTGCCTTCTACTCTACACACAGAAGGCACCAAAACAGAAGCTAAAGAACGTCTGTGTGACTGAAATGCAAACGAACCTCAGAGGAGTCCCAGAAGCCCCTCCATAACCACTGCTTCCTGACTCTATAACTGGACGTTATTTGTTACAAGAGAACAGCCAATGAACCAAGAGTGAGTTACAAACTCGCACCTACCTCTAACCCCTTCTAGTCTGCCACACTGCCTCCTGTGCACACACGGTTCTCACCATGATAGTAAATACCAGTTTCCAACAGTTCATAACGAGCTCCCAGACTTTAAGGTCCCTGTGGGCAGGCATTCTGCCTTTGCTCTTGCTCTCTCTACTCAAAGGGCAATGCCTGGCATGTTGAAAATATGTAATATACACAAAATTAAGTAAACCTTTTTCTTTTCATGTGCCAAGAAACTGCATTTTCCAAAAAGCCCAAACCTGCTTTGCTTACCTGCAAGATTTGCACGTAGACTTGGTGGGGCTCTGTCAGCTTCATGCCGTTGACTTCGATGTACTGGAAGGGAGGGACGTCATTGGCGTGGGCCGCCTGCCGCAGGCAGTGCATCACTTCGTGGACAGTGGCGGTCTTCCCGGTCCCGGGTACCCCGGAGATGTACATGCACCTGGCAGGAAGGGAAGGCGCGAGGGGGAGGTGTGTGCCAGCTGCCTCGCCAGTCAGGAGTGAGCAAACGTGTGCGGAAGGAAGGACCGAGAGCCCTGGGGGTGGGGGTGGGGGCAGGGAGGAGCACCCTTGGAGGCTGATTAGAGTAGGGCCTGTTTCCATACAATCATTCATTCTGCAAGCAATGCCAGTGTCACCTTTCTTGGAAAAACAGAATTCCCATTCCTACAGGATAATTTTGACAACAAAAAGCTACTTCAGGAGCGTTAGGCTTTCGCCTGTTGTCCTGACACTGGGGAAAGACCATCTGGTTGACCTCTGACACCGGAGCGGTGTACCAGCATCCCGCCTTCTTCCCGACCATCCCACCTGGCTCAGCGTGACTCACCCTCCGGTGCGATCCAGGAGTTTGCTTTCCACAAAGTTGTAGATGTCTTGGAATTCCTTTTCCCGACAGGGGAGAGAGTCGGGTACAGCAGACACATGCAGACTAAGTAAAGGGAAAAGGAAGATTTTAGAAGTATTTCACCATCCACTCAATAATGGAAAGACTTATCTATAGTTTCTATATAAAACCTTACAAACCCAAGGAAATGTCTTCATTCTCAAATCGCTTCATGTAGTTGTATAATCCCCTTCTCCCCGAAAATCACCCACTCCGTGGTGCTAACCAAAGGGTACCCAAATCGCACTGCTGAACCTCATCCCGCAAGAGACTCTGATTTGGTTGATTTCTGGAAGGATGTCGGCTTCTCTGTTTTTTAAAAGTCCCAACACAGTTCTAAAGAGTCCGGCCCCTGAGAAGTAGTGTCCTGACTAATCACCTCCCTCCCTGAGAGGAGGATGGCAGTAGACTGGAAGGCTACTCCTAGCACCTGTCTGCATTAGCTGAGCCACACACTACTTGAGAGGTTTCCTCTCTCGGAACACACACGCTCATTTTACTGTATTATCACCCCTGCTTCGTGGGAATGAGAGCAGAGGCCCGCCTTTCTCTCTGAAAGGGGCCCACGAGCAGGGTTACCTCAGCCGGGCCTCCTCGAGCACGCTGGCAGGCCCCCGCGCAGCCAGGTTCCGGCTGCGGATCTGGGGAGTGGCAGAATGTGGCGTTCTAGGCTTGGGCTGTATTCAGAAAAAGAACATATTTCAGAAAAACACCACACACACACACACACACACACAAACAACAAAGCAAAAACACCATTCAGGACACATTGGCAAATCTGATTCCTGAGGACTTGCTACAAAGAAGAGAGGTGAATTCCTTAGTTTTTTTATGTATAAAATACCATGATTCCCCTCTCTCTTCTCACATTACACATACACTTTTTTCATAGACCAAACACAATTTCTTTTTTCCAGTTTACACACAGTATTAGGATTTGAAAACAGTGGCAATCTGGGGAAAGAATAAATGAAAGTATGGATTAAATACTATTTAAAAGTAAAATACTGCTGCCGAAACCAGTTTGGCTCAATGGATAAAGCGTCGGCCTGCAGATTGCAGGGTCCAAGGTTCGATTCCAGTCAAGGGCATGTACCTTGGTTGCGGGCACATCTCCAGTAGGGGGTGTGCAGGAGGCAGCTGGTCGATGTTTCTCATCGATGTTTCTAGCTCTCTATCCCTCTCCCTTCCTCTCTCTCTCTCTAAAAATAAAAAAATTTTAAAAAATCAATAAAATATATTTAAAAATAAAAATAAAAGTAAAATATTGCTTTAAAGGAAAGATAAGAAATTATGAAGAAATCCTAACTATGCTGCCCAAACATAGGGTTGAGGGCATAAACTGGGTTTGATTCAGAGGATGCTCCTATAAATTGGTTTGAAAACATGGTTAGACCTTGTTTATCAGTTTAACACCTATTAACTTTGGAGAAAACAGGAAAGGGGTAAGAAAAACTTGCTCAGAATGTATCAAAATGTCACCCCAATCATTTTAATTAATAAATAAAAAGAAGGTATCAAAAATTTGATACATGTCTGATCTTTTCTCTTATGCTACAGATGCCCTCACACCCCATAGCTCTTCACTTGGTGGGCCCCAGGAGATGCGATCAAACCAGAAGGTAGGTGAGCTATTCGCATAGAAAAGAATCCCAGGTAACATCGGCTCCCGTCTAAAAGTCATCTATTGGGTTTCTTTCCATAGAGGTGTTCCAGAGAGCAATAAGTTCCACAAAAAAACTGAACTGGTCAGAGACTCCTGCTCTACGGCTCTCTTTGAGGGTCACAATAACATTAACACACATCTGAACACGGGAAAGTTCCAAAGGAAGCAGGAGAGACATCATTCTTCTCTTCCAGTTACACAATTCATTACCAATACCTGAGCAGCCCTCCCTGTTTCTCAGGTGTATCAAGTGACACTGTTACCGGACAAGTGACGGGACCCTGAGCAGGATAAATTTCACCCCACGAGTCGAGGTGACTATGAGGGTGATTTTTTAAATCCGAGGACAGTAAAACAAGTAGAAGCAACAGAAGAGCCAGGCTGGGCTGCCTTAGCTCAAGGGGACCTTAGAGACAGGTTCAGGGGGTTAGGCTGGGAATGCTGCCGCTGCCCACTGCTCCCTGGCTGCAAGACTCATGGGGCCCCTTAGTGTCACAGATGTGGGAGAACAGGGGGAAGGAAATGCCGCAGGGAGGCCGTGTGCTGGGTATCTCTCTCTTGCAGGCAGGAATCAGGGGAGGTCTCGGGTAGTCATTAATGTTTCCCAGGAGTGCCCTTTCAAGGTCGAGATCTCTATTGATCGGTAGGTGCCAGGCAAGGATCATTAGTTATTGCAGCTGGTCCTGGCATTGCCTACCTGGTTTTGCTGCTTTTCTGGGCCGAGAGCTGAAATACAACCCAGGCCTAGACATGATCTCTAGGGAGGTGACCTTCTGTATCTGGCTGTGAATTGCTGGGTCAGTTTGTTCAGCTGTTTCAACTTCCCTGTTCCACTTGTCCTGGCTTACTGGCCTGTCTCAGAGCAAAGCCAACAACATGGCTCCGCAGCCCTGATTCCATTCCCACTGAGCACTGATTACACACAAAGCATGCTCCTGGGTTTTGTGGGCAATGCAACGATCAGGTACCAAGGTTCTTGTCCTTCCCTCTGGAAGTTTGGCTCTTGGCCATTTGGTTTTGTATTTTAAAGAGAACTCAAAAATCACTACCCATGCCGAAACCGGTTTGGCTCAGTGGATAGAGCGTCGGCCTGTGGACTGAAAGGCCCCAGGTTCGATTCCGGTCAAGGGCATGTACCTTGGTTGCAGGCACATCCCCAGTAGGGGGTGTGCAAGAGGCAGCTGGTCGATGTTTCTCTCTCATTGACGTTTCTAACTCTCTATCCCTCTCAATTCCTCTCTATGTAAAATCAATAAAATATATATTTTTTTAAAAAATCACTACCCACTGCATGGGTGGGGAACGGCCAGCTGGCGGGCCATAGCAGGCCCAGGAAATCATTGGACTGGCCCCGCCAAGGCATGAGGGGTGGGTTCACTGGATGTCGGACCAAGTATAGCAGTCTAGTTTTAAGTTCATAATTTTGTATAGCCTTCGAACGATGTTATAAATATCCAAATGGCCCTTGGTAGTAAAAAGGTTCCCCAGCCCCAATACTGGATTCATTTTCAGCCCTAGGGTTCATGAATATTCTAAGTGTATATGTAGCTTCCAATACAGCAGACCTATACTCAGAACCCGGCTGCTACTAACAGTAGTGTGATCTCAGCCGCCACATTTTACATGGAGAGACAAAGGTAAAAGAGCCTTACGGTCTTCTTTGGCGTCTTGGAGGGGGTGTGTGAGGATGACTTCGTGGCAGAGTGTGGGCTCCTGGACACACAGCTGCGCATTCTCCGTGGAAGGGGTGGTGTCGAAGCCTCTTCCTCCTCCTCCTCCTCACTGTCCGAGTCTGTGATCTCTGCTGCGGGCAGAAATTCCTCCTCTTCTTTGTCACTTTTGCCCTCTTCTTCTTGGTCATTTTTGCGATTATCTAAAAACCTGAATGGTGGGACACATTTTCGGATATTCGGTGCTTGAAGTCTAAACCAGGGCTCCCTAACAGGTTAGTGTAGATAGAGGTGTTGCAGTGTCTGCTGTGGTGAGCAGTGTAAGATGTGCTCTGCTTGCGTGCTATTGAGGCCCTATGCTAAGGATTTACTTATATTGTTTTGTGACCTGTATATTATATATATATATTTTTAATAAGTTTTTATTGTTCATATTATTACAAATGTTCCCCCCCACCATTGCTCTCCTCCCCCAGGTTCCCACCCCTCCCTCTGCCCTTTCCCCTCTCCCAATTGTCCTCATCCATAGGTGCACAGTTTATGTTCAGTCTCTTCCCACGCCCCCCTTCCCTTTTCCCCAAGAATCGTCAGTTCACTCCACTTCCATACCTCTGATTCTATTATGTTCAACAGTTAATATTGTTCATCAGATTTTTTTAATTTCCTTGGTTTTTAGATTCACTTGTTGATAGTTACGTATTTGTTGTTCATAATTTTTATCTTTGTTTACTTTCTCTTCTGAAAGAACCCCCTTCAGCAATTCATATAATTCTGATTTAGTGGTGATGAACTCCTTTAGCTTTTTTTTATTAGTGAAGCTCTTTATCTGGCCTTCGATTCTGAGTGATAGCTTTGCTGGGTAGATTATTTTTGGCTGTAGGTTCTTGCTATTCATCACCTTGAATATTTCTTGCCATTCCCTTCTGGCTTGCATGGTTTCTGTTGAGAAGTCAGCTGACAATCGTATAGGTGCTCCTTTATAGGTTACTACCTTCTTTGCTCTTGCTTCTTTTAATATTCTCTCTTTGTCTTTTGCTCTTGGAATTTTAATAATGATGTGTCTCGGTGTGGTCCTCTTTGGATTCCTTTTGTTTGGAGTTCTGTGTGCTTCCTGGGCTTGTAAGTCTAACTCTTTCACCAGATGGGGGAAGTTTTCTGTCACTATTTCTTTCAGTATGTTTTCGATATCTTGCTCTCTCTCATCTTCTGGGACCCCCATAATTCTGATGTTGGTTCGCTTGAAGTTGTCCCAGAGGTTTCTTACATTATCTTCAATTTTCTGGATTCTCTTGCCTTCTAGCTTCTGTGGAGGAGTGTCTTCTGGCTCTTTATGTTCCAAATCTTTGACTTGATTCTTGCGATCTTCCCTTCTGTTTTTAGGACTCTGTAAAATATTTTTTATTTCAGACAATGTATTCTTTATTTCTTGTTGATCTCTTATCATTTCTTGTTGACTCCTTATTAATTCTAGTTGATCTCTTTTCATATCCTCATAGGCCTTATCCATCTTTTCTTGGAAATTCTTGAAAAACCTTATAAGCGTAGATTTGAACTCTATATCCAGACGCTTTTTGTCCTCCATTTCTTTCCTTTGTGATCTATTTTGTTGTCTCATTTCGCAGTTACAGATGGGACGGGGTTTCAGGGTGGAGCCTGCAGCTTTGGCTTCTGTCAGCCCCGCCCTATGCGGGTCCTTCAGTGCTCGCTGCTGCCGGCGCCTCTGAGAGAAAGGTGCCCTCGATTTTCGCCTGCTGCCAAACAGTCTATGCTCTCCCCCAGTGGAGTTGGAAGTGGAGTTGGAGGTGGCGTTCAGAGCAGTCTGGAGCCCAGGTCTCCTTCCCGTCAGGGCAATCCCGCGGCACAGCCGACCGTCCCTTCTCTGCGCGCAGAGTGCGCGCCTCCGGGACCTCCTTTTGCTGCTTCCCCGGGGTTCCGCCTTACAGCCCGGCTCCCTATGGCTGAGCCGGGGTCCCCGGGGTCTGGCCCAGAACCGGGGTTCAGAGCAGTCGGGGGCCCAGCACAGTCGGAGTTTTATCTCCTTTCTGCTAGGGAACGCCCACCAGGCACTCGGCCTCCCTCCTCTCTGGCTCCGTCCTCTCCGCACACCGAGTCTCCGTACCTTGGGCTTTTCCAGCTCCTCCGCGCCTCCTTCTGGTTTTCTCCTTGCTTCTCGCTGTAGAATTTCCAGTCAGTCAACCTTCCTGTAGTTCTGGGCAATGTCCGTTTTATATTTTAGTTGTTTTTTATTGAAATTGTTGTGTGCGGCTGCGGCTAGGTGTTCACCTGGGCGCAGCCATCTTGGATCCCACCGTGACCTGTATATTATTATTATTCCCATTTTTGTGACGAAGAAACTGAGACTTAGGAAGGTTATGTAACCTTCCCAAGGTTGCACAGATCGTAAATGACAAAGCTCAGC